GTGGCCCTAAATAAACCATCCACTTTCTCCACATATTTGAAGATTCCAAAAAATTCATGTAACGTCTCAATTACTTCTGAATTTTCACAAGCCACACGCTTGATAAATCATAAATTTCGTGAACTCCAATTTTAACAAATGAGTACTTGACATACATGAAAACCGCTATTCAACCTCGAGCTTCAATTATTAAAAAAATAAAAAATTGGAGTCCTACTGTATTTTCAAATAATAATTTCACATATTAAAAACTCATAAAACTGTAATTCGATCAGTGAGATTTCTTAGTTGGCATTGATTTAAAAAGAAAAAAAAAACAACTCACATCCTTCCGGGTCTTGAGGTTTGCCAGCCTGTCATTGCACTGGACAATGATCTCCCCAGAGTGCGCAACACTCGCAACCTCCATTGGTGCCTGCGGCGTCGGCTCCTCAACGCCCTTCGCCCCACGTACTTGATTAATTTCACCAGGACCATTCTCCTGATGTCCATGAATTCCAATAACTTCCATATCACCGTTAAATGTCCGTAACGTACACAAACTCATTATCCTACCTCGTCACTCCTGACGCTGACTTGTCTCTTATTTTTTTTTTTATTAATAATAATTTTTTTTTTAATTCCCCACGGAATTGAATTTCACAGTGGTGGAGTAGCTGGAGCTGCTTACGAACCGTATGCCAGAGGCGTAAACAGCGACTGAACAGCCATGTTTGATTCTCAACTGTGATTCTCTCGCTTGGACGATAGCAACTCGGCGGGGGCTGACAGTTTTTGTGGTGGGGGGGTTGAGCCCATTGAGGGGAAAGGGGGGTGATGGCAGTGAGGGGAGGGCAATGAGGGGCAAGTGGGGAGGAAAGTCTTTTCTCCCTTACCCCACCCCTCTAGTCCCTGATTCGCCTCTTTTGTACATGTTTTTTTTTTGTCTTCTTCTCTTCACTCAACTTTTTTCCAACTTCTCACTTGCCCCCTTTTGCTTCACCATCACTTCATCTCTCACTTGGACACACGTAATACGGGTGGAGATGACAAACAAAACCGAGAACGTTGGTACGTGCCACAACACAAGGCCCCAGCTCAAGTCCTCTGTTTTTCAGCTTTTGGGGGCATTTATTTTCACTTTTTTTTTACTTTTTGTTTCGTCATTTTTCCAGGGACATCGGGAATCCTGTCGAGTCAGGGACAATAGGTTTTGGGTGAATTTGGTATCGAGAGACGATGATGAGACTCGAGTTTGCGAAATCGTTCTTGCACGGTACGCCGGAGTTGATTTTTATTATGTCGACTTTTTCCTATTTTTTATTTATCTTCAGGGGTTTTATTCTAGACAGGTTGAAGTCGCGGGGGCTCACGTGTTCTGGGGAGAGAGTCGGATCCACTCGCGAGGAGGGGAGGGTAATGATAATGAAAGGAGAATTTAATCTGTACAGGAGTGCGGTAAGCACAACTTTGATTCAATTTTTCTTCCATGTCTCGTGTAATTTTCAGGAAATCACTGTGTTGCAGTGGATTGTTAATAAAGATACGTTGACACGGATTTTCACTTTTTCTTCAAGTCTTTTTTCAAGAAGATCACGTAGAAAATATCGACGAGAAATAGTATTCAAGTATTTTTCGAAATATCACCAAATTGATTAAAATTTGACGGGATTTATTTTTCTGAAACTCAAAGCCTTCTTTGTTTAACAGAAGCTATGAGTTAGTCCGTTATTTCTCGTGTCAATAGTTCACATACTTTGAATTCTAGTTATAATATATCTCCTTATGTAATATAATCATATACAAACGTCACATCTCGGTTTATCACATTTTTCAATGTCTTACCTAATGTATGGACAAATGACTTTTGAAAAAACTCTTTGATTTTAACTTTCCATCCAACTCTAAATTCCAATTCAAATTCCAACTGTTTTTCTTTATTAAACCCGACTCTTTCGACCAATGGGAGAGTCATTATTTCTAGACCATCTAGCTTCCGAAAATGAATTTCTCTCGGCCATCCTAAAAATATTCTGCCTAAACCAGATTTCACATCGAATAGAAAGGAAATTAATTATAATAAATGAATTTCCGATAACAGCGCGCAGTGAAAAAATAAAATTACTCTAACATGTTAAATTCTCATTTGAATTTTTGTACCTAGTACGGTTAATTGGTAGACATAAGTTTTTTCTCGGTGCATAACTTATTGAGTAATTGAGCTATAAGTTTTCGGAACAAAGGAATTGAGTATTAAGTCTGTCACGCTTGAGTGGAGGTCAATTACGTTGATTTCCTGAATATCGAGGGACAATTGTCAGTTTCTCGTATCTCTTATCAAATCATTTGGACGATATCATGACGTAGGATGAGGAAAATGCATGTTTTATGGGGAAATAATGCTGGCTTAATTAATACGGCTGAGAATATAATATTAAACGGCTCGTAATGGAGAGAATGTTGTAATGTTTATAGGAAAGTCATACGTTTTGAGTAGAGAAACTTGAAACTCGAAACACATTGTTTGAGCGATCATTTTAAGTCCATTTCAATACACCACGAATTTCACGCAGTACTTCTGATAAAAATGTCCACATTCTGCTGAAGTGATAAATGAAGCATGAATATGTACACTCAGAGAAATGCATGTACTGGAAGAAATAAATTATTCTTAAACTTCAATGAGGATTGAATTAATCAGGGCACGAGGTACAAGATACTGCGTAAAAAACGAACTTGAACTCTTTCTTATATTTTTTCTACTGATATCAATTCTGGAATATAAAAATTCTTGCTCTCGATTTTTTATAACTCTCTAAAAATTCCTAACTCTTATAAAAAATGCAATAGAATATAAAATGCATTTAAAAACAAAAACAAGAATGTGGAAAACCACTTTTCGGCATTCGTATCGAAATATACTATTTTTTCAACTTTCTGGAATCCGAATGTTGCACAATTCTCTCTAAAATCCAGAAATATCCAATAAAAAAATCTTTGAAAGCTACTTTCCCGCACTAGTGTCCAAATATACTACTTTCAACTTGTCGTAGTGACAAGTTGTGAAATTGGGCACAAACTGAAAAATCTAGTTAAAAAAAATAATAATTTCTTTATCCTTGTGTAATTGATGGAATTTTTTATCTCTTCCCGTCGACTTCCTAAAGCTCCTATTATCATAGTTCCCCACACTATCGAACAATTTGATAGTCGACTCACACATGTAAAAGAAAAGCCCGAGTAACTTCTCGCTATAACTATTGCCCACCTCCCAGCAAAACTATAAATACGGTGTCGCACACGTTGCATTACACCGGTGGTTAGAGAAAGATGGAGATATTTCCACAAGTTAATATTCATCTATTCTGCCTGAGTGTTATACATGCTTTCAGGGACTCTTTGTGTTGGTGCCTTGTGGAAGTTGAAAAACACCTCTTCTCGGTTACAAGTACGGGTTTACACGGCGCTTGCGTGTATGTTACTCCATGAAGGGGCTTTTGCAGTGAGAAAAAAAAAGTTCACTAAATATGTGTTTTTCCAAATGAACCAATTTCATACTTTTATTTTTATCTTGCATTTGATGCGAGGAATTTTTCGTCTCACTAATTTCTCAACTCCAATTTTTTAATTTATTAACAATTTAAGTTCTTTCCGACAATTTTTATACATATTTAAATTTATAAAGATAATCTGCATGAATGTTATTCACTAAATAAATCCGAGAATTGTAAATTCCAATTACTGATAGTAGCTGGAATGTTTTAGATTTTTCGAATTATTCAGGGAAGAATTCTGGGATTATTACGTCTTTATTTAGAGTAATTAGGAAATTGAATTTGATCTAGGGGAAACACTTTTATTTAATTAATAATAAAGGTTCTAGTTAGTTCACAATTAGAAATGAAAAAAGGATCAGATTGTGAAGAACTTCGGATTAGTTTCAGTGCATTTATTTTTTGCGGTTTTTAAATCGGATGATTTCGATCAATCGCTGAATTTCTATTATTTAGACACTTCTCTTTTTTTCTCAATATACATCACGACCATGTACGTTTGTTTTCGGTCTATACGGCATTACATAGGCTCAAGGCATATTGCGGATTCAGCTGATCGAACGCCTCAAAGGGGGGAGATAATGGGGACGATCGATGTTAATTAATCGTGAATTTATTATTTCGATGAGAGTTACAGTGGATTGTATCGGTATTTTAGAAATGGTAACAGATATTTATCATTTCGACATTTCGTTGAGGCTCTTACACGAAAGCAAAAATTACAAAAGACTCAAATCAGGGACCCATTCAAGGGGACATATTCAGTAATTAACGATTGGCGATAATTAATAGTCTAACAAAATATAATACTTGGAGGAAGATAGAGTAATGTCCTACAGACGTTCAAACGAGTGAAATAATCATTAAATTCTCAAGAAATTGTTTTCCGTCTCGCGTTGCATACGCTTATTAAACAATTTCTTTTCGATTTTTTTTTCTTAAGGATTCGTACGATTCTAACAAGACTTGTTCGAGAACCTGTTCGTTCTTCTCTCAGTGTATGTAACTGAATTCATAGGGGAGAATGGGGCAGAGTGAAACAGTGGGGTAAAATGTGCAAAATAATCTCGCAAAATAATCTCGTAAAATAATCTCGTACTTCATTTTATTTATTTAGCAACTGCTACAATATTTCCGGGTGATAATTATTAGGGTTCCAAATAATTGAAATAATAATCTCATGTTAATTACAAATAAAGGAAATCAGTAGTGAAGGAATACTGGGAAATCCCCTGTTCGAATTCCAAGGTCTGGAAATTCTAATTTCTATCAGAATATGGAGTGTTTGAGTCCAGATCCAGAACTAGTCATCCAACGACGAAAAAATTATTATCACAAATCTGACCAACAGAAACCTCCAACAAAAATAAGAAACCGTAAAATCAGATGTTCAAAATTATTGAAAACCCATGAAATCATAAATTGAAAGCTCATAAAACTCGCGAAAATCATAAATTCAAAATTCCCGACCACCTGTAAAATCAGATATTGGAAATGACTGAACGTCCATCGACTCAGATACTAAAAACCGACGAACATCCATAAAAGAAAATACGTCTAGAAAATTTAGAACGTAAGGAGACTCAAGACCATTGGAGAAGGCTCCTGCACAATTCGGCCAGCCGTACAAACACAGCCGATTGTCGCTACTCTCCCCACCAATTCCATCCTCTAATCTCCCTTCTACCTCCTCCCCTCGCGCCACCCCCTTCCCCCCCCACCGTTCCCCTTCAACCGTTTGTCGCCCTCCCCTTTGTTCCCCCCTCTCCCTTAAATCTCTTCAAAACTACTCTCCTCGCTTCACCCGTACATTTTTTTTTGTTGTCCCATACAGATCTTTACATGGATTGCACCTAAACTCAAATTCTTCTTTAGAACGAAAAAACAATTGTCGTTCTCTGTTTTGAACGGCGTTCATCTTTATTCTTTTTTTTTTTTGGCGTGGGGATAGAGAAGCAAGTTTAATGCGTCGGGGAACCATGTGCAGTGGCACGTATCCAACCGCTCATATATCAGGGAATACATATGTGTAGGCAATAGTGACCGCATCGAAAGTCATGACGATTTCATTATTTTGCCCCACCGATTGCTTTGTACCCATTAAATTCAAAATTTTCCATTTTGCGGGTCAACTGTGGGGTAAAGTAGTCATTCTGTTGTCTCGACTGAGTTTGAGTTGTGGGTGAAAATTGTGGGTTAACAATCAGTGGGATAACACTGAGGGTCAATTTTGTGGGTTAATATTGAGGGTCAGATTTGTGGGTTCAAGTATTGCAGGTCAGGAATTGAATGCGAAAAATTTAGTAAATTTAATGAATGAATGTTGAGGCCCAGAGTAATTACGGCAATTACAGCAATACAATTAAAAATTTAATTGACAAATGGCCGTTGTTTGCATATCTATATTGAATGTATTGTTAATATTTAATGTGCAGCAGAGTGATTGTTTTTGAATTTGTTGCGGTGAATTTATTCATTTTCAGTTTGCTGAGAATATAGCGCTACAATTATGGGGTATTTTTAGAATGTTTCACGGTTGTCTCGTAATCATTGAATGGCTGATTAAATTGTTTTCGTGAGGTAATTTGGGGAGAGGGAGGCGCGGATCTCTTTAAATAGTGGGATATTGTTCCTGGGGATTGGGTTCATTGCGTTTATGGAGCGATTTAGGGAGGGGGAATCATTGTTTTATCGATGAGTAGACGACTCGGTAATTTTCGGGAGAATTTTCATTCTCATTTTCATTTGGGGGATTTTCAGGAATCAGTGATTTTGCTCTGGGGTTAATTATTTTTTCCTTCGTTTTCATTATTTCCTCTATTTTTTTTTGTCATTAAAAACTCATACAATTTTTATTCCGTCCTTTGATTTGATCTTGAGTTACGAATATTGAAAGAATATGTGAAAATTATTATTTTTATTTTGTTTTAGATAGGAAATTGTCTTGTCTTGGTATTCGATTTTAATTTTCAGTTGATGGGAAAATTTGAAGTCAATTTCGGTGGAGGAAGTGCAAAAAAAGACCGTTACAATTTGCAGTAGATTAGACATCTAAATTAACTAGTTTCACCTCTTCATTACTGAACTCTTCAATACCCATCATCAAAGGACAATTGGGTTTTCTCTATTAAGCCACAATGCTTCACTCAATTTTGATGAGCGAGGTAATGAGAAAGTTTTCTACCCTAATGTAACAATTTAGGATTTTTTTTATTCCACCTAATTCAATGAGTCCCACTCTCTTGACCTCGAACCACCACTGGGAACAACTTTCGCGGTTACAGCTGCACATAGACAACAGTATAGTGCAATCGCCAAGTGCATTGATTGATAAATAGAGGGATAAGGGAGAAGGGGGGGGATTGAGAAAAATCGAAGAGGAAAAGGCGAAGAAGTAGAAATAGCTAAAAACTCGAGATAGTGTTTTTGTTATTAGATAATAGTAAAAAAAGAATAAGGTGATAGTGAGCAGGTCAGGCTCCGGCTTATCAC